AAAAAAAAAAAAGGTGGGGGGGGATACATGAACATCTCTACAGCCCTTTATGAAAAAAGGAGACGTGGAAACTAACACTTGTACACACACACAGTTAAATGTGAATACACTCTACATACACATAGACACCGATATATACACATACATACATCCACAGACAATGACATAGACAATGAGAAATCACAACCAGTAAATATTTCAGACTTAAATAAATGCTAACCACTTATTGAATTATAACTTAAGGGAGCAAATATACAAAGATAAAAATGGTTAAAAATAATATTATTTAATATATTAAAACGAAAATTCTAAAACCATAAATATCAATAAAAATATATATTATTAATCATATAAGTTAATAGTTTCATTATATATTTGGCAAAGAAAAACAGGATAAAGAAATCCACAAATAAATACATACATATATATATATATATATATATATATATATATATATATATATATATATATATATATATATACATATACAGCAAAAAACAAATTAACACACATAAATATACACTCATACATACATATACATACAGAAATACATACAAATAAATATATAAACATATACGTACATATACATATCTATGATAACAAGTACACATGCACGCACATATACATATAAACCTAAATACACACACATATATACACACTTTTATGCACACATACTTACATATATAAAAACAGTCATGATATACCCAAGTTTCCATACCCACACATACACACAAACTCATACATAATAGGTGCCAACACACACACATATATATACATACAAAAAACATACATAAATATATACACATATACATACAAATCTACAAATAAACATATATATATATATATATATATATATAAATATATCTATCTACAATAACAACTACCCATATATACATGCATACATAAAAATACAACAACATTCAACCAAATACATATATAAACGAACTAACATATAGATACATAAATATACCTTCAAACACCAACACACAGCAATATACATATATTCTAACATACAAATATATAAACACATTCATACAAACAGAAATATACTTAAATATAAATACACATACACAATAAAATAGGACATAGATATATATATATATATATATATATATACACACACACACACACATATATATATATATATATATATATATATATATATATATATATATATACACACACACACATACATATATAGATATATATATATATATATATATATATATACATATATACACAAATATATCGTGGCACAAAGCCAAATTAAGGTGTACCCAGTGAGGAACGAACTCATTACTCAGTCGCACCTAATCTAGCGAACCATGCTGGCCAACCATTATACTGCCGTGATTTTATCATACATATACATATACATACTCATACATATACATACTCATACATATACACATACACACACATACATACATATATATATATATATATATATATATATATCTATATCCAACCACACACACACACACACACACACACACACACACACACACATATATATATATATAGGCATACACATATACAGCAACAATTAACCTTTTCTCTTATAATCTACCTTACCTTCCCACATAATATATATATATATACACACACTCACATATATATACATACACATACACCCACACATATAAAAAAAAAAAAAAAACATAAATACATTTATACACCAACCTACACATTCCTCAGTGCAAATACTCTAACCAACACATAAATAAATATATACACATTTACACCAACACTAATAACACTATGCAGGTAAACAATACACACTTCTATCGTAAGTATGACCATCATGCAATAAAAATACTAATCTATTAAAAATACAGTGACATATCATTATCATTTAAAGTATATTTACCCCTACACTAAGTTAAATTTATAACGGTGTTTACAATTTACTGTAAGTTCATATCTTTGATTTAAGAGATCAGCCTTGTTTTTAAATCTAATAATTTCAAATTTTTCATTAAGGCATAGGTAACATGGGGTATATAGGGAGTTACATGTACGAGCTTTCTTAACCAAACTCCATTTAATCGTTAGGTGTTTTGTTCTTATCTTTTAGATTCCAAAAATACTTGGATAATGAAGTCATGTACCTATATTCACTGTGATTAAAGGATTGCATATGCCCCGCCAGCGTTCCTTGAATGTTTTCATAGTAGAACCAATGTAAAACTTCTTTATATTTGGATTTTCAATTGTTGAAATAGTACCAAGATAGACTACAGAAGTAATCCCACAGTTATTTTGTAGTGGACAATTATTCGGATTCCTACAATTACATAAGTTGTTATTTGTATTCTTATAATTAGTATTGCAGTTAGTAACCTGTTGATTAGTCAAGCCTTTTGAACTCCTATACTTGTTAAAGACTGTTATGTTTTTTAATTATCTGCTCTAGGTTATCAGCACAACTATAGCTTAATTTAAGGGTATTAGGATTAAATATTTTACTAAGTGGGTTAGTTTCAGGGTTGGGGAAATGTTTTTGATTAGGTTTATAAATATACACCCTAACTTAGTTTTGACCATAACATTGAAAGGGGGAGTGAACCAAATAATCTTTCTAGATCTTTTCTTATTATGGTTGCAATTAACAGGGTTTTTATATTGAATAGTGGTATTTTTGTATCCACTATTTTTTAGTGCAGAATTATAAAAATCACTATGTTTATTGAAAACCTCCTAATTATAAGAGTTAGCGCTAATTCTAAATTCAATGGAAGAGGGTATATGTTTGATAACCGAAGGGGATGGTTGGAATTAGGATGCACGATAATGGGTTGGAATTAACCTTCACATATGGTTGGAAAATATTGTTAGCAAGATCTAGGGTGACATCTAGAAAATCTACTTGTCTAACATTAGTAGTAACTATTGTCCTAAGACCTAAATCCTTAAATACCCTATAGATCATTTTCCTAATCTGGTCTACCTTAATTTTAGTTGAGTTTTTAACAACTAATAATCCATCATCTCTATATAATCCTACACTATCTGAATCTAGACAATCGAAGGCACTTAAATTATATAAAAGAAATAATCCAACCAAGTCCGAAGCTTCAGCAGAATCCGAAGAACCCATGGAAATGTCAAAATTGTTGTTGCAAGACTTTTTGGTCCACTGTTCATCCTTGTAAATCAGAACAGAATTACGACACTTCATAATGATGTGTATTCACATTTAACTGTGTGCCTTTTTTCATAAAGGGCTGTAGAGATGTTCATGTATCCCCCCACCTCTTTTTTTTTTTTTTTTTTTTTTTTAGTGTGTGTGTGTATGTTTGTGTGTGTGTGTATATAATTATGTCTGGGTGCTTATGTATTATAATCTGATTGTGTTTTTGTTGTGTCACGCGTGAGTTTAAGACCATATTCACAAACTTTAAAATAAAAACGGAAAAGAAAGGGAAAAGAAAAAAATATATATACATGTATTGTCAAATGACCGGATGTATTGTAGCGTCTTGTCTTGTCGAACGTAATTTCAATGAAGAAATGAATTGAATAAACATATATATTTTTTTCTTTTCTCAATAATTTTGTAGTTTTTAAACTTAATAGTGATTAAATTTGGATTTTAAAATTGCCAGTTTTTAATTTTAATATTAAATTTTATCATAAATTTATAATTATTAGTTAGTATAAATTATTTTTAATATTACACGTATTTAAAGATCTGAATAGCTATTATAGCAGGATTTTAGTTGTCAAGCTTTTTGAATCTTTCTATACTTCGTTTTTTGATTGGTTATTCTAGCTTTTGTAACAATGTTTCCCCTAGTGTAGGATCGTTAATTAATCTGAAACTTTTAAAAACCATTTATTTTCTTTTTCAACATCATCACTTGATAAGACACAGTGTGTTGAAACAAAATGGCTATTTTTGTAGTGATTTTATAACATACTTATGTTATAATTTTTTTATAAAATATAATTATATATATATATATATATATATATATATATATATATATATATATATATATATATATATATATATATATGAGATTGTATCTCTGAAAACATTGATACATATGTTTGCTTTACTAAGTTTTGGTTTAAAAAAAAAAAAAAGGCTTACTTTCCATTTGGTTGAGCATAGTTCAATAACTCGGCATTTAAAGGAACACTCATGTCTACACTCGCAGATTAGATATTAGTTGAAAATACATCTATGTTGCAAAAACTAAAAATCCTTGAAGCTCTTTATATAAGCATTAAAGCCCCAAAATAATCAACAAGTATAGCAACAAAGTCCTTAAATACTTAGAAAAAAAAATTTTATGTTTGAGCAAAAATGGAAAAGTTACTTGTCTTATATTGAGGTGGGTGGACAACATGTGAAATTTGAAATCTAGAATGCTGCAGAAACAGTAAAAAACTAACAGTTGAAATGTTTTGAACTTACAAAAACAAGTACATGCTCACAGACAGCTCAACCCCCTGAAGATTCTCAGATGAGATTGAAAGTACTTAGGGAAATAAAAACTTAAAGAAAATTTTGGTAATTTTCTTAATCAGCTTTATAAGGCTATCAAGAAATTAATCTGAACTTGGAATGATCACAATGAAAACTAATCAACATATGTCTAAATTAACCAAACCTGTTTGAAAAAACGAAAATATATATATATATATATATATATATTTTATTTTGATATTTATAAAAGCTTTGCACTCAAAAGTGGCATTAAAAATTACTTTTTCTTTTTTAACAAAAACTTGTCATGAACAACAGTGGTCTGATTTTCAAAATCAGGCTGAAAGATTATTGAATGGTTTACTTCAGGAGTTGAGGATTCTGTCCAATTTATTGTAGGTAAAATAAACAAAATTAACTTTTTTTTAAATTTATATCACAGCCATTATACACAACAGTAAGCAAAGAACCTTATCAAACCTGAAGCTGTTTATTTCAGGTCTCTGCTTCATGTCACAGATGCGTCCCCAGCAATCTAATGTTTGTCATTTTAATTTTTTAGTCAGCAAAACCTATTGGAATTTCTGAAAACTTTTTGTGGAATTGGAAACTGAAAGTGGTTAATCATGCCTAGGAGGAAGAAAAATAAGAATAAGAATAAGAATCCTGTTTGTCCTCCGCCAACTCCCAAAGAATCCTGCAAATATTGCCATAAATCTAATCTGAAACTCTCAAAGTGTTCCAGATGCAAAGATGTCTTTTATTGTTCAGTGGATTGCCAAAAGAAAGACTGGGTTAATCACAAGAATTTCTGTGAACCAAAAACAAGTGAACAACAGTCACCTGATCCTCCACTTCCAGATAAAGGTAGGTGATGTTGCTTATTACACCCTGTCCCTTCTGAAGGTGGTTGGGGTGGCATTGGTGAAGTTGTGATATTTGAATGCAACACTGTCATACGAGTATAATTTAAATTTAAATTTGGATTTTATAATATAATTTAGCTTTTTCATCAATATATAGAAATATTTTTGTGGATGAGCATCCTCATCATTGTTGTTTATATATATATATATATATATATATATATATATATATATATATAATCATGGCCTTCAGGGATGTTTTAAAGAAGACCCTTTGTTTTGCTTATGGGTTATATTGTCTTTATCCTTTGTGATAACCAAAATCTTTAACTTGCACTGTTACTTCAATAAATTTTTGTGGTTGTCATTTCTCCATGAGCAGCTGTTTTTTTCTGTTTAGACAAAAATGCCCAAAATCCATAATCTTCAGCTCTTTCTCTCGATCTATCATTAAATATAATGAACAATGACCAATATAATAAAGAAATATCCAAATGTTGGATGTTTTTTTTCTTTACTTACTCTTGAAACATGGTAAAACAAGTTTTTTTTGTCTGTTACATTTAAAATTGTTTGAATAATGATCTGCTGCCATCTATATACTAAATTGATGTTGCATGATGCTGCAGCATTAAATGATCCCAACAACAAGAAATTTCAATGGAACCTCGTCAAAGCACAAATAAACACATCCACACAATAATTACAACAAAATTGGTCCCTTTTAAATTTTTTGTGGGTGGTGTAATTGCAAAATGAACTTCAATGGCTCGAAGTAATGGCATCTCATTATTTAAACGATCATAAATCTTCTGAATTAGGATGTTTTGATGACTCCTTGAAAGTATAGAGCCTTCAGTAAAAAGCGAGATCTCAATCAATGACTTGTGAGAATTTATTAACCTTGAATGTAAAGCATTTCTATGTATAAAATTATCGGTACCTTGCCATTCAGTAATGGTCATCAAAGAATTCGGTTTATTTGGTAATTACTACTGGAAGCTTAATGCTTGTAGTTTTCTATTTTGAGGAAATCTTCAGAAGGGGGTGGGGTCTGTAAATGCATAGAAATACTTTTTTTTTTTTTTTTATTTCCAAGTGTAAATGTCTTGTCTCATAAAATTTACCTCTTTGATTCTGAAGTTGAAATATTGTTTATAGACCAACACTTAGAATTTTCACATGTTTCCAAAATGAAAAATTTATGCATTATTTTTAGTGGATACTTGTATTTGAGTAAACCCTCTGTTTATTTATTAAACAGTATATTTTCACCTACCAGCCTGAATATTAAAAAAAAAACCTTTAAAAAAATTTGTACCCTTTGACAGGAATCAAATTCCCATCCCACACTGCAAAGGGAGGCACTACTTTGTCCGGCATCCTTACCGCTTGTCCATGAAGGAACAGGTGGTTATGGATAAGCCAATTGTGCTTTCTCTGCCATGGATCTTTTTTTTTTTTCATATCTGCACAGTTTTGTATTTAAATATTATTATGTAGATCATTTTTGGACTGATTTTGCTTTGTGTAAAACAAACCTATGTGAAAATGTATTTTTATTTACAGAAGAAAGTTGCAACCATTGTGGGAAATCATCTGATGTTAAACTCAGGACATGTTCTCAGTGCCATGATGTCAAATATTGTTCCAAGAAATGCCAGAAGGCTCAATGGCCAAAACACAAAGTTGATTGTCAAAAGAAACGTGAGTAGCAGCTTTTTTGTTCTTTTATTGTTTATTAAAAAAAGTGCTGTTGGTAAAAATCTGAACTTGATATTCTTTACAAACTGTTTTTCACAATCAGATTTATCTGATTCAGTTGTCATTTGTGGTTTTGGTTCAATTTAACAAGTCAATGAAACTTCTAGATGACATGTCCCAATAACAACTTTCCATAATTTCCTCTCCTTTGCAGCTCTTAATAAAATTTGTCATTTTGTTATCTGTCCTAAATCTTGTTCTATCATCAATTTACACTTGCTAGGTAGTTTATGTTTTTTCTTATGTCCTGCCCACTTTCAATGTTCTCTGAATATCAAATTTTCCAAGCTTTTCTTATGTGTCCTAGAAATTTCAACTCTTTCTGATTCTAAGTGTCCTTTTTATTTCCATTGTCTCTAAAACTTCCTCATTGCTCACATGTTCAGTCCATAGTATTTTCAACATCCTTCTGTAGAACTACCTTTTTATTGTTTCAAGTCTCAGATTGCACAGCATTCACTGCCATATGGCATGTCTAGTGTTTTTGCTGCTCGAGGCAGCCCTTTTATTCGTACACCCATCAATTTTGAATATTTCATTTCTCAGATTCTAATGTCCCCCCCCCCTTTTTTTGTGTTTCTGTTAACATGCTATTTATAACTCCACATTGATAAATTATGAAATAAAAGTACAATTTTTTTATTTTTTTTAAATAAAACTGGGGATATGTAAAAAAAATGAAAAAAAGCATTACTACTTTTTCTAATTTGGGGAAAACTTTACGATATTAAAACTTGTTTGTTTATAAACAAAAATGTACTTTTAATAATTTATCAGTTTTTAATATTTATTTCAATTTTAACGAGTGGGGGGGTCAAATTAAATGTCACATTCACAGAAACAAGGTTCATTTTTCTTAACAATGTAAGAAAAAATGCAATGTCTTTAAATTTTCTTTTACGTAGCAAAGTAGTAGACTAAATTGAAGGTCTGATAAAATTAAATTCACTTTTAAAAACTGAAATGTTAAACTTGTAATTCTTAGTTTTCAGCAAAATAGACTATCTAAACAAAAATAAAACATTGCATTGTGTGGCAGACGTGATGAGACAGAACCTGGGATGAGCACAACTGGTCGCGACTTGCCTTGTCCCCACCAAAAAAGAGCCTATATTTGCTTAGCATGTAAAGCTACTGCAGTTGAAATGTGGAGTTCTTCTTCAAGTGACGTTCATGGTTGGTGGCTAGAAAAGTATGTCAGTGCGATTTTGAGACAAAAGGAATGACTTGAGGTTGGAATACCAGCTTGGAGAACTTGAATTTACTAGCTGGTTGCTGTTTTCTTTTTATTCGCTATACATTGTTTTACTACCATGAAAACTTGTAAATTGAAAAAAAAATAAAAAATGCCCATTTTTGGAGTAGTTTCTGCACAAAAAAAATTTCAATTTTTTAAATTTTTGTTCAATATTTCCAGGAAAAAAAATTGAATGCATGTGATATCCTTAAAGCATTGGAATTATTTAAATTTATTTATCTATTTTATAATTTATGAAAAGTAACTATTATATCTGTATTAAAGCTAGGCCTAAGATAAAAAAAAAGCAAAAAAAAAAAATTGGTTCACTTAATTTTTTTTTCTTTTCTTTCACTAACAGTTGAGACATGAAATTTAAAAATGTTTAAAATTTTTTCACACTTTTTGCTCACGTCTTGAGTGGGATTTATTCCTGCTAGCTGACAGCATTTTTTTTTTTTTTTTTTTTTTAGCTAGCTATATCAAAGACAAATTGGCTTCATTTTGAATCCTTATTGCTGCATTTTTTTTTTCCTTTCAAAAAATTATTGGAATTATAAAATTTTCCCATTTCTGAATACTCTGCTTAGCTTTTGGAAAGCATCAGTGTTGCATTTTCTGTCCTCTGTTAAGATTTCTCAGATATTTCAATTGTTGTACTTTGATTCTGGTATCTCCTATTCATAATTTGCAATTTGGGCTCATTCTTTTGCTAATAACCATGCATTCTGTCGTCTTGCAATTGATGCTTAGTCCTTTCTTCTTGCTTTCCTTCATTACCTTCTATCGGCATTATTGTAGTTTCTCTTTTGTCTCCTACTGCATATCTTGTGTTAAAATTGTGACCACCAATAATAAATCCTGGTAGTACTACTAATTCTCACTGTATAGGTTGAATAAGTCTGGTGAGAAGATGCATCCTTCACTTTACATGCCTTTCTATTTTTGTATATTTACTGAATTCATTTTCTATCTGTTTGCAGCAGTTTTGCTGCCAGTATAGGTTTTGGATTATTCTATCTTTTCCTAATAAGTCAGTTACCTAGAAGTTCCAACATGTTTTTGTGATGTACATTTTCAAACACTTTTGCATAATCTATAAAACAAGTTAAACATCCTTCTGCATTTGTATTGTGCTTTCTCATATCCTGAGCATAAATTTTACATTTTTTGTTTCAGTGTCTTTAACAAACCTGCACTGTTTGTGTCCTATTTCCGGTTTGATTCTGTTGCATGCTCTCTTCATCAGAATTCGGATAAGCTTTGTTATATGGCTTCATTGTCTGATGGAGTTTACATTCATTTGCACATGACTGAAGAAAAAGAATTGGAGAATCAATAAATATAAATTATAATTTAAAAGATTTGAAAGTCATAAGTGACTTGTTTTTAAAAATGGTACAATGATTAAAACATCACTTGAACATTTTTTTTTTTTTTTTTTTTTTTTTTTTATTTAATTTTTTATATTTTTATTTCAGTAAAAGTTCCAGATAGTGTCTACTTAATTGCAAAAATGAGGCATCCAAAATTTCAGATGGTTACAAACTTTGATGATATTGAGTCATTTTATTACTCTGGCGAAAATGTGCTGCTTTTGATAGCACTAATGCATAAGACTGCATTCCACCCTTTCCGACCATGTATGTTTGTAAGGGTAAGTAATTTTATTAGTAGTATTACTGGTAGCAGTAGTATAATAAAATAATTACAACTGTTAACCTGACTCATATTCAGTGCTGGGTTGACTCTGGTGTAAGCATCATCAAAAATGAATTATTTCCCTTTTTCAAAAAATTAAATCTGACAATTTACTTAAATTTTCTAAACTTTAAATCTGAGAAAAATAATCAAATGAAGAGGAAAGAAATAGAATAGCTGTCAAGTTTTTGTTGCCAATTGATTTTATTTTTAATTAACAAATTCTATTTTCTTTCTTGTCAGGATGACACCGGGAATGAGCTTTTCTTAATATTTTATCTTGATTGGGATGAACAAGAAACTTTCCCTTGGGCAAAATTCCAACTTGGAGACTATATCTGTGTCATGTATCCCTACATTCATCAGTTTCTTGATGGTTCCGTAGGATTTCGGATTGAATCGCTCAGCAATGTGAGCTTCATTAAACGTATTTAAATTTGTGGATTTCAAGAGAAAAGCAAAATAAAAATTATGGCTGCTGCTTGTGACTACATTTTAACCCAAGTAATGCATCAAACCAATGAATCAAAAGTGATATCTTTCATTATATATATATATATATATATATATATATATATATATATATATATATATATATATATATATATATTTTTTTTTTTTTATTATATTATGTTTTTATTCTCTCCCCAGTTTGTTTTTTCTCCTGTTTGGGTTATTTTTGTCTGACAGCCCTTCAGTGAGAAAAGTTTTTTTTTTTTTTTTTTTTTTTTTTTTAAGCTATTCTGAGAGGAAATTTTTGTTACAAGTAAAAAAATTGTGAACAAATAACAAAATGTCTTGAATGTGTCTAAACTTTCATCTTGTGATGAAGATAAATAGGAAAAGTGAAATATGGAGGCTTTGTATTTTTTCTGAACCAGTTTCGGGGGGGGGGGCTGTTTTTGCCTGTAGAGTGCTATGTGTTTGTTTGTTTGTTTTGGTTTTTTTGGTGGGGAGGGGCACTGCTGAAAAGTTCTTTACTTTGGTCCACTTCCAAAATTTAACAAAATGAACAGATTTTTCCCCTTTTCAAATCTCTTGTCTCTAAGGACTCTCTAGCACGTACCTCCCAGTGTAAATTTTGATGCAGTTTTTTAGATTTGTACTTTAAAAGAAATACTCTGAAGCCACCCATGTGTCGTGTGTAAAATCTACAACTGTTTGTTTTAGCTGCCACTTAGGCTCATTTTCCTTTTTACATGAGCTTTTTTTTTTTTCTCCCACCACCAAAAAAAATTCATGTAAATATTTTGTGCGATCAAGAGATATAAATTGCTTTTATTGAGTGTAATAAAACAAGACGAAACAAGTTTTGTAAAGCTACACTCGTTAAATATTAGATAATTTGCAAATACCCGTCAATTTCAGTTTCGTAAATCAAATTTTAACCCTTGTGATCATGGGAGATAATTTTTTTTCTTTTAGTTATTTCCCTTGAAAGATATAACTTGATAGAATGACATTGAGAAAATTTGGTTTTCCTGATTTTTATACCCAATGAAAGACTGATAAATTCCTGAAAAACATTTAAAGAAGTGGGTAGGGGTAGTTTATTTTTCAGTTTTTTTTCCTCTCTGAAGCATTGAGGATTCTTAAAAATAAAAATTTCATTTTTACAACTTTTTTTTCCTTAAAACTGAATTATCAGGTATTTTGAAAAATTTTTTTTTTTATATCAAAGAATTTAACAGTGAAAAGCTATTGTTGCATAGTTATTTTTATATTAAAATAATCTGGTACTTCTTCAGGAAGAGTATTTAAATTTTAAGTGTAGCAACTGGAGGTTGACAAGGTTGTCCTTGAATAGAGGATGAGTCTTCATGAGCTTTTTGTCAACTGAAAAATTTTTTTTCTACTTGTATGGGCCATGTCCCTTCATGACATGGGTGACATCACTCTCCAAAACTTCCTACCTTTTGTGGCCCTTAGCAGTTTTCTCCTTTTGCTGATGAGCCCATCAACTATTTTGCCATTTATGTGCACAAGATTATCTGGACTGTATTCATTGATTTCCTGCTAAATAGAAATCAATAAAAGTATTTAAAAAAAAAAAAAAAAAAAACCCACCCCAATGCAATTCATAAACATAGTGAAGGAAACAATCCTAAAATCCAAACGAAAAACAAAACTTTTTTTTTTTTTTTTTTTTTTTTAAATCATGACTGGAGGTCTCAAACTTAAGTTTCATCATCAAAATACTAAAGAATTTTGATCATTTTGAATCCTATCTTTAGCACATTTGAAAATTTTTTTTTTTTTTTTAAGCAGGTTGACCAAAGGTTAGTATGGGGAAATTTAGTCTTTTGCAGTAAAAAAAAAAAAAAAATACATTTGGAAATTCATGCAAAAATCAAATTGGATTTTTGGGAAACTTTTTTTTAATTTTAGGAACTTTCAAGAAATTAAATGCCAGGATATTTGTTAATATTAGTTAAAAGCAAGAATGTAAATTCTCAATTTGATGCTTTGAATTGTAAAATAAAAATACAGTAAAACTGACATTTAATTTAATTAGGAAAGCTTTTACGAATAGATATATTAAGAACACTATTGTCTTGTGAAAAAATTTTTGAATTTATACAAGAATTACTTTATTTTTCTTTTTTTTTTTTTTTAATCAGAAAAATTTATTACGTTTTAAATCTTTTAAAAATGGATGGAAAAGCTTAATGCAAATAACACTAATATTTAAAAAAAAAAAATAAATAAATAAATAAAAATAACATTTTTAAATATATATAGTGAAAAGGAAAAAAAAAAATTCAACCTCAACTACTTTAGAAAATCCAAATGACAACTATCTTATCTTGTCAAAAAAAAAAATACTAAAAATTTTTCTATCCATTCCAGAAATTTAAAATATACCATCTATATAAATAAAACGCAGTGCATGTGTGGCTTTGTGATAGGATCATAAAGAATGGTGATTTTTTTTTTTTTTTTTTTTAATAAAAATTGCATGCAAAATAAATAACAGATTGGTTGCATATAGGAAGAAATATTGAATAAAGATAAAATAATTTTATTTCTAAAGTCTTATAACTTTTGCATACATAGGATGCTAAAGACCTTCCCAAAAGGTGACTTCTAGGCTGGCAGAAAATGTCAACTTCACTTCAGACAACACAGGAATACAATAAACCATTCAAAATAACTTAAAAAAAAAAAAAAAAAAATTCATTGAGAAAAAGTACAGGTGATATTCATTACCAATTCATAAAACTGAATACTCCCATCCCCAACTCTTTCATATATATATATATATATATATATATATATATATATATATTGATTTAAAATATTGGTTATTTTCGCTACACAGTTCAAAAATGTTTCAAAAATTAGAAAATAAAAGATGAAAATGGAAATTTTGCTTTAAATTAAAAGCATTAGCAAAATTCAATTTTTGGAGTAACTTTTTTTAAAACGGTAATTTTTTTAAAAACATGGTTGGAACTGTGTAAAAAAATAACCATATTTTTAAATCAATTAATTTTAATATTAATGCTCTGTAAATTTACATTGAGCACTATTTTGTAAAAATAAAAATATCTAGAAGAACACCGGATTTTATATCTTACTGTTCTTTTTATTTTTATATATATATATATATATATATATATATATATATATATATATATATATATATATGAGAGAGAACAAACACCAAGAAATCTAAAGTAAATTATAGCACACAGGAAAATTCCCAGAATTGTGACTAGAATCCATCATTGATATTCCTAAACTTGACAAAGCCAATTCCAATGTGAATGTAAGACTATTGAAAGAATGATTAATGTGGTACCTGGTGGGTGGGGGAATCCTATCCTTTCCAAAGTGGATTATGACAAAGCCATTGTTCATAGAATTCATCTTGAATCCTTGCTATGTTTGATCTTGACAAAAGCCTATGACAGGTCTTGTATATTAAGAGATTTAAATGACATCAGAAATGTGGCCACATACATTAAAAACTTCTTCTCACAGAACCAGCCACAATCTGAAGTACATTACCAAGAGACAGGTGGCCCTCAAGGCAATATGCATTCTGTAACCATGTTCAACAAAATTAAAAAAATTAACATAGGATTTGAGAAATCTTTACATGTAGATGACTTCTTAATCACCTGTTCATATCCCAACATGCAGTCACTGGAAAAGCAAATGCCAAATTGACTCAATAGAAAAATGGATAAACAATAATGATTTTAAATTATCACTCAAAATGTATACATACATTTCTGCAGAAAACCAATATATCACAATGCCAGTCGTTCAGAAGACTAAATTCTCAGGAATCATAATTGGCAACAAACTCAACTTCATAAATCACACAAATAATCTAAAAGAAAAATGTCATAGAATACAAAATCTTAAAGCAATCTCAAAAATTTACTGGAAAAAATACAAACATTAGATTATGACTGCATAACCTACAGCTGCACACAAATCTTACTCTTAGATACTTCCAATCCAGAACCAGACACTAAAATTCAATCTGGGAGCCTTCCAAACATCACCCATGGACAGCCTTCAGAACCTTCCGAACACTTAAGGTTCAGAAAATTAGCCCTACAATACTCATTAAAACTACAAACCCAAATAATCCAACACCTGAAAGAACTTTCAAACTATGAACACTTTTAAACTATGAAACCTCTCCATTGAATGCTGAATCAAAGAAGCACTCACACAAATAACCCCTCCCCCCGGACATTATAGCTCCTCTTAACACTACCAGATCAACTTAATGGAGATTTGACAAACCTCTTAATAGGCCAAATATAACAAATAACATCATAAATAGAATCAACTTTACCAAACTAAAATAAATATCAAGCCATATGTATTGATGGCTCTAAAATTTCAAATAAAACTGGAGGAGTTGTCACAGATGGACATTCTCACAGATTAGACTGCCAAATTGAGCTTCTATATTTACAGCCAAACTACAGGCCATTAAGGTGTTTTGAACTCATTAAAAAGTCAGATGACCAGAAATTCATATTTCCTTGACTCTGTCAAGTCTTTTAGCTCTGAACAAAGTAGAGTCCAGACATCTTGGTCATACTTAAAGCCTATAGTGAAATAGTTAAATCGCAGAAATAATATTGAGCAATGAAAAAGCAGATAGATAAGCTAAGGATGCTGTCAACATGACAAGCACCAATATTGAGATACACCATACAGGCTTCAGAAACATATCAAAAGAAAATGGCAAGCGATATAAAACTTAACCTAGATGATATTCAACCAACTATATGAGAATGGCTCTTAGATTTCAGGAAAATAACAGACAAAATAGTTTTATTTATCCTCCAAATAGGACATACACCAACTTGTCTCATCATGAAGATGTTCAGTATCTCTCACAGTTGTACATATAAGTTGTCATTGTCTCAATCACACCCAAACAAAATATTATCAAGCAAACA